AACAAGTCCATTTGTAAAATTAAGCTTCATAATTCAAAAAAACTCACGTGAATTCCTAGGTGGCCCTCACTATGCCCAGCCCATCAATATATTTCCCAAAAATGCTAATGGCAACACCCAAACAGCTCCTCTTCCTGGAGCTCTCAGTCCGTAGTTCGGCGGGCCCACCCTGTATCATTTCCGTCACAGTCTTCAAAAAGCCATTGCTGGCTATCCCTCTGCACCCCACACACCCACTCTAATAACATTACAGGACTGTCCTTCATCTTGGTGGCCGCTCCCCTCACTCTCCAGCATGTCAATCCCGTGAGAGCAGGAACCTGCACCTTCCTTCAGCACTCAGAACAGTGTCTGATGCAGACACCGCACTACTTGTTGACTATCTGGGGGAGAGCATCCACACTCTCATGTCACTGACCTGCTCAGTCCCTAAGGCTCGTCTGCACGTCCTCTCTGCTCTCCATTCTGAAATGCACCCATCCCACCACCCTGTCTAAAGACTCCCAGCCATCCCAGCCAGAGGTCCCTTTCCTTCTCTCAGCGCCAACAGTCCTTTAGTTTAGCACTTTCTTTTTGTAAACTACCTCAGGTCAAGTTATTTTCCATGTGGATCCCTTACCTCTCTAAATAGACTATAAATTTCGATAGGAATTGTCGCCTTTGAAGAAAGAACTTCAAACATGCACAATGTCAAAAAAATTGAGTGATCATCGCAGTATGGAGGTTTTTAATTTGAAGGGCTGTGATTGTACACACAGATAAAATTTCCTTTTTAAGCTGATTATAATTTAACTGTTCTGTGGTGACTAAAGGTCGCCTAGATAAATACTATCAACTAGCTGATACACTCAGGGACTATTTACAGTTTTTATAAAGGACTAGAGGCCTGGTGCACGAATTTGTGCATGGGTGGGCTTCCTTGGCCTGGCCAGCAATCTGGCAATCAGGGCTGGCCACAGGAGGTGGCCATGGGACACTCCTGCATTGAGCGTCTGCCCCTTGGTGGTCAGTGTGTCATCATAACAACTGGTCGCCGGGTTGTTTGATTAACCAGTTGTAACAGCCACTTAGACTTTTATATATATATATGTTTTATATATATATAGATTACCTGAACCTGCTAAATGACATTAAGGAACTGTGCTCCTTCTAACTCACCCCTGGTTTTCTCATAAACTTTCTGTCTTCTTTACTGTCCAGCTATCAGCAATAAAACTATTTGCTGCTTATCAGTAACTCTCCCTTTCTAATTTCCTAATTTGCTGTGAGCAGGAAAAACCAATAGGTCTGAACTAGGCCTACAAAGGGGTAAAATGGCGCAGAGTGAGGTTCAGCCATGGGAGAGAGGCAGAAGAGACCCACGGCTTATTCTGAGCTCCCACATGTGCTCCATAAATACTGATTGATTAAATGAGTCACAAACTCAGTCACTCTTCAGTGAGAAACACCTAAGTGGCTGTCAGCTATGTACTGCTGGTGGCACTTGCAAGTATGGACTCACATGCTGCGTAGAGCTGTTCTTTTTATAATCTCATTTGCTCTTGACAACAACCATGTGAGGTTAGGGAGCACAATGGCACCCACTTTTAAAGCTATGGAAATTATGCCCCAGAGGGTGACATAATTTGCCCAGTTAACAGGTAAAAACCCAAGGGCCCTGCCTGGTGTGTTTTTTTGTTTTGTTTTGTTTTTTTCCTTCCACTAAGCCCAATTGTATACAGGTCCTGTGTACTCGGGGTAAAAGAACTTCTGGTAGGACTCCTATGTAGCCAAAAGAGGTTAGGGAAACAAAACATTCCATGATTAGATTCTATTATAATCTAAAAGAGCACTTGCCATAGTACTGTTTATTGCTAAAAAACAAATTCAATTTATACTAACAAGTAGGAGGCAGAGATAGAGAAGATGGTAAATACATCCAAATTTGGCCCTTCTATGTTACTTCCCAGATTATACCCTTCCTGTGGTTCAAATTAAAATAACCCGAAACACCTAACACTAAAAAACTCTCTCTTCCTCTATACCCAAAAAGTTTAATCTGTCCCATCCGAGGGACTGCCCATGTTCAATCTCATTACAGGGGTTTCTCAGACATGTAAGAAATTGGACCAAATTATAAAACTGAGAATTCAAAATGCCCACGGTGTGTACGTCTTTGGCCCATGGCACAACGGCATGCTCTTTGGTCAGAGACAATGTGAACTGTGTTCTCACAGCGCTGCGTTCCTTTCCTTCATTGAAGGTTTGTGTGCGTCTTTGTTTGCCAATCAACGGATATTTATTGAGGGCCTACTCCATGCCAACCATCTAGGTTCGATCAGCAACTTTCTGACTTAACATGTGTCTCTCTACTACAGGCGCCATGAGAAGAGTTACTGCTGCTTTTTTGCTCACCATTACGAAATACTACCCAGCAGAGTGCCTGGCACATGGCAGAGGCTTAACAAACATTAGTCGAATGAAGAATTAAAGACAGAGACTCAGAAGGAAAGGGAGAAGGGACCATTTTGAATGTAAAGGAATCAGGGCTTTTCACTGCCCAGAACTCGCCTCATGATCCCCCAGCGATCTGATGAATTCTGAAAGGCACCACATGCATGCACAGCTGTAGGCATAGCAGCTGTCATGCAAAGGAGCCGAGGCCCAGGACAACGCAGAATTCAGCCCTTTGTTTCTCTGTCTGCCTCATGACTGGAATGAAGTTAGGTCCACTGTCAATCTACCCGCCAGCTGCGTATCTCAAACATCTGGCTTTCAGAAATACTGAGTTAACATTGCTACTGAGTGAGCTTTATGTAGATTTCCTCACTGACATCACTACCTGAAAAGATATTAAAATGTCTAAGACCTATATAAGACCGGGCTCATATAAAAAGTTCTCATTTCAGATCTTTGCAAGCTATAAATTAGCCTTCACAGAGCATTTAATTGAAAAACAAAAAAAGCTTGATTCAAACTTTAGGTCATAAAGTTCAAACAGGACTCATTACCAGTAAGCTGTTAAAAACAGACTAAGTTCTAAGAATGAGCCTCACCCAAGTATTTTAATTAAAACCTAAGATTCAGTTTGGTTATATGCTTGCTACCCTGAGTAGTTATGAAAACAATAATAGGATAAAAAGAAATATGAACTACTTAACTCAACATAAAAAAAAAACAGCAATGTAGGCAGGTGTATAAGTTCATGTACTAAAACAAAGTTTACTTTTAGTTTTCCCCTCCTGAATCTACCTAAACAAATGGATTTTTTTAAATTAAGGGATAAATTAAGAAGAAAAGCAAAAAGTAATAAAATGTTTTAAATATGCACGCCAAAGCATGCCAATCAGAACCCTAGAGATAATTCCATTAAGCTAAATATGTATTTAAATACGTCAGTTAGTTAGGTTTAGTAGCCGAGTAAACACTTTCCCTTCCCCCCAAACTCTAGCCCTTGAAAATCACAACTTACCTGGAGAGGCTGGTGACATTAGTTACAAACAAAATGAACACTAATTAAAGGAACAAGGTGAATTATGTGAGCACTTTGCAAACTATTACGCACTAAGCCTAATGTAAACAAAATCTCAATACCCAGTTAAAACAGTAAAAAAAAAAAAAGGGGGGGGGCGCGTAGAGTGGGATGGGGTGGAGAGTGGCAGACCCATCCTAGAGCCTGATCATCTAATTCAGGATTAAATTATTTAATGACTTAAAACATTAGCAAAATCATGTTCAACAAATACAGAACATGTATTTAGTAAAAGGCCCACAAACTGTCCCTTGGATGAGTTAGTTGTATTCTCATGAGACTGTGAAATACGAAGACTACTATGTAGTGGAAAAATCAAAAAGGACTTCTTGCCTACACTTTTAAGTATCATTTTTATTTTTTTCCTAAATCAAGTTTATGTTGTGATTTTACAGTGTGATTTCCACAATTCACTTTGCAATGTAATGAGTAAAGGGTAGATTCCTAGGTTCAGATGACTATAAAAATTTAAGACTAAAGAGAGCAAAAACAAAAGTTTTATATTGTAGTAAGAAACTGCCATATTGTGCCTTGGCATATATTCAAACTAGGCTCTATGAAAGATTCACAAATTCACATTAAAAATCTTTTTTTTTAATCCCAACAACGTGTCAAATTGCCAGCTAGAAATATGATATATGCAACCAAACTATTTTCCTACCCGGAAATTATCCCCTCCCTTTTGTAAGCATGACTACGCTTTACCTTGGCTGGAAAACATCATAAAACAACACTCTTGGAGTTGAGTCAAAAATGACAAAACAACGTACTCTTCAACTTCCATTTCGCTAATGGTCTGATTTCGGGAAGATCCGCCGTGCTAAGATCTGAGCCCACCCCTGAGCGTGGTGCAATCTTGCGCGGAGCCGCGTGGAGTGGGGTGGGGTGGGGTGGAGACGGGCAGGCCCATCCCGGAGAGCAGAGCGGAGCACAGGCACGGCCGGAGCAGGGGGGTGCGGGGCGGCCGGAGTGACAGGGCCCAGCCCCTGGAGAGTGACAGTGCCCGAGCTGCCCCGCGGAGCGGCAGTGCGTGCCGCCAGCCTGCTCTGCCCTCCAAGGGACACGAGCTCCTCGGCCGGCCGCAGCGCGACCGGCCCTCACTGTGGTCCCGGGTGGACACGAGGCCAGGAGTCTGCGGGCCCGGGAATGTCACTGTGGAAACACATTTTAGGACGCGCTCTGGCAAAGAGCACAAAAAGCAAAGAATATTCCCGGATGCACGGCTCCGGAGAGACTGGCTGCAGCTCCCGCCGTCCGAGAGCGCGGTGACAGCCAGCCTTCAGGCGGCGCCGGGGTCCGTGCACTTTCCACGCCCCGATCCCCAGCCCAACTTAGCCAAGAGCCCACGCAGCGTCCGGCCGTGATTCAGCAGCGGCGGGCCGGATCCCGGGCAGGCGGGCAGTCCGGAAAAGGTCACCGAGCGCTGCGGGCGCCGCCCCGGCCCGGATCCTGCCGCCGGCGGGGCGGCCAGGGAGCGGCGGGCTCCTACCTTTCCTGCTTTTCGGGGAACTCCGCTTGCTCCGGGCGCTGGCTCGCTCTTCCTCAATCGCAGCTGCTATCTCGGGGTTGTCTTCCCCATTGTACCAAACCAGGAGCTCCTCGCCCGGCGCGATTGGCTGCGGGGAGAGAAGAGACAGGCGCCGGGCCAATCAGAGCGGCGGTTGTTGGCGGGGCGGGGGCGGGGAGGGGCCGCGAGCCAGAGGCCAGCCGGGCAGGAAGGGCTACTGAAGCCTCTGCGGCTGCGGGGCGGCTGCGGGAAGGAACCCTCTGCTGGAGGGAGGACCTCACTTCCCGCAGCTTCCTCTCCAGGGTCCATAAGGCCAGCTAGGGATCCGAGAGAGGGCTGGAAACTCAAAACTGCCTTATGCTGCGCATCTGACTGTGCAAAGCCTTCCGACTACCCATACAGAAGGGAAAAAAGGAACCATTTTGCTCATGAAATCTAGCTGATGAGCAATTTGGAGCACAATTAGAAAGGACCAAGACGATTGGAAAGAGAAGTGCTGAAATCTAATTACCAGTGCATGGTTCAGATTCCAAGAGCAAGCTAAGCCTGATAAGGAAGAACTATATGCCACTGCACATGTTTAAGTCGCCGCTAATTGTATCACGGAAAAGCGAAGAGGACAGGAAAGCGTCCTGGCAGTGTAGTATCTGCCACCACCCTACTCAGGTCCATGGAGAATTCACCGTCTCCCCTCTTACCACATCGATTTTACATGACAATTTATAAAGAAATGCCTAAAAATACCTCGCATGTATTATGTTCCTAAAACATTAATTCTTAACTTTCATGTCAGTAGTGAGGACATATACCACCAAAATACTGATTGCACCTAGAACCAGACTCTGAAGTACAAATATACTGAGTATAAAGATTTCGCTCCTAAATAGAAGGTAGGGAAATGCCTTACTGGTTTCTCTCGCAATGACTCATCTGTTCAAATACTTCTGAGGAGGTCAACACAAGTAACATTTTACCTAAAACCTTATGAATAAAATAAGAATCAATGAGTTCATACTGATATAAATGAATAAATGAACAAATAAATAAATAAGGAAAACTCTTCATTAAAGCAGATCCCAACTAATCAATAAAAAAGAAATAATGGAGGCAGGTAGAAGAGGGTAAATGAGGGATAAATAGTGAAAGGAGATGATTTTGGATGGTGAACAAACAATACAATATACAGATGATGTATTCTAGTTATACACTTGAAACTTATGTAATTTTATTAACCAATATAACCCCAACAAATTCAATTAAAAATAAATGGAAATAGAAAATCACCATTTGGTAATTATCACAGTAATAATTGATTCAGGCAAGAATTATTGGTGGAACTACAAGAACAAATTTGAAGAATGACAATATTTGCGAAGTTTCAAAATATCTCCCTCTAAAACATTTACTAATCACAAAGATAAAAACTGTCTTTATAAATGATATTAAGATATATGTGCCTCCTCATACTAAGCACAGAAAAAAACACAGCATCACTTCTGTAGATTTCTGCTCAACATGAATAAATGGAATCTAATCACGATGAAATACAAGAGAAGCACAAACTGTGGGACATTCTTCAAAATAACTGACCGGCTCTCTCAAAACTGAAAGGTTATAAAAGCAAACTAAAGAGACTAAGAAAAAGACATTATATCTGAATTCAATTGAGTTTTCTTTTCCTATAAAGACAATTGGCAAAATATGAATAAGGTACAGAGACTAGCTAATAAACTAATACACCTATCAGCATCCTGCTTTAGATCACTGCACTATAGGTTATGGGAAAAGATGCCCTTATTTGTAAACTAAGATGTCAGTTCCTAAGTTCAACATACCTCCCAGATAAGGCCCTTTAAATATTTTGTTTCATTCTCTGCAAAACTCACTGTTCATATAGTTCAAATATTAAAACATTCTAAAGTCTTTAAAATAAACAAGCCACTGTTTATTTTGCTTCCCCAAGAATAGTTAAAACCTGTCCTTTTCTTATCTTTAAACCAATGTACTATCATTTCCTTTCTTGAGTCTGTTATACCTAAACAAAACAAACACAAAAAAATACCTAATATGTGTCGGATTTTAATGAGTTAAAATACATAAGATTTTATGAGTTACATATAAGATTTTTTAGGAATTAAATAGCCATTATAATACTTTTTGGCACTCTGATGAGGTAATATGTTTCTTTTAAAGGAACAGGCTTTTTTGTTTAAATAAACCATTTATAGTTCCAAATGTACAGTTTGCTTCTCTATTTTTTTAAATATATTTTATTGATTTTATTCAGAGAGGAATTGAGAGGGATAGAGAGTTAGAAATGTCAATGAGATGTGTCCGCAACCAAGGTACGTGCCCTTTACCAGAATTGAACCCGGGACCTTTCAGTCCGCAGACTGACGCTCTATCCACTGAGTCAAACTGGTTTCAGCTCTCTATTTTTTGTTGTTTAGTCGCATTTATGAAATGGTGGTATCATAAAATATTTGAAATGATTAGTTTGTGGAAACATGTAAAGACTTAAATAAAACCAAAGTAAAAATGAACATGGAAAGGAGAAAAAAAAAATGCATTCCCAATTTATTTCTAATCCAAACAACACAAGCAGCACAAGGGGTGAAGACACCCACTGGCCCTGTCCCAGGTACCTCCCAGATTCCGAGCGTAAGCGTCAGCTCCAGTCTTCCGAGGGTACCACCTGTATTATCTGTGCTAGCAACTGAATGACGTTAATTATCAGCACATACTTTTCACTTCAAAATAACACAATATAAAAACATACCCTCTCCCCCCAAAAAAATACCATACCAGAATCTGTTCTTACCTCAATCCTATATAATAAAGAGGTAATAAGCAAATTGACCATCACTCCAACACAAGATGACCACCCCCAAGTGGTCAAATATGGCTGCCCCATATGGACACAAGATGGCTGCCACAAGATGGCCAGCAGGGATGGGCAATTGTGGGCAACCAGGCCAGCAGGGGAGGGCAGCTAGGGGTGACAGGGCCAGCAGAGGAGGGCAGTTGGGGGCAACCAGGCCGGAGGGGAGGGCAGTTAGGGGCAACCATGCTGGCAGGGGAGGGCAGTTAGGAGCAATTGGGCCGGCAGAGGCAAGTTAAAGAGTGATCAGGCTGGCAGGCATAAGAGGTTAGCGGCAGCCGAAACCGGTTTAGCTCAATGGATAGAGCGTTGGCCTGCGGACTGAATGGTCCCAGGTTCGATTCTGGTCAAGGGCATGTACCTTGCTTGTGGGCACATCCCCAGTAGGGGGTGTGCAGGAGGCAACTGGTCGATGATTCTCTCTCATCGACGTTTCTAGCTCTCTATCCCTCTTCCTTCCTCTCTGTAAGAATCAATAATATATATATATATATATATATATAGAGAGAGAGAGAGAGAGAGAGAGAGAGAGAGAGAGAGAGAGAGAGAGAGAGAAAAGAGGTTAGCAGCAATCAGGCAGGCAGGCAAGCTGTTGGGAGCCAGCAATCCTGGACTGTGAGAGGGATGTCCCAGATTGGATAGGGTGCAGGTTGGGCTGAGAGACAACACCCCCCCTCCCCCGTGCACAAATTTCGTGAACCGGGCCTCTAGTCTAATATAACATTTCTAAATGGCTAATGAGTTGATGAATTAAAAGCAATGTGATTTGTTTGAATAACCTTCAAAATTTTTAGCAACTGAGGTGATTACATTATTGAACTAATTACTTCCCAACTTCATATTAAAATCGATACAAAATATCGATTTCAATATGAAGAGGAAAATATTATTTCTTTTTAAATGAATGATTGTTTGCCTCTACTGTTTTTTGTCTTTACTGCTTACCACATTTAAGATTTTATAAGTCAAACTTCATAATAAACAAAAATTTTTGTTCTGAAACACAGGAAATATAAAAGCTGCATTAAAAAATATGAAGTCAGCTGAAACCGGTTTGAGTCAATTGACAGAGCGTCCAAACCACCTCTTTTTTTGTACTGTATTTTGATGTTTAACAAAAAAAATATAACCAGAAAAAAAGAAAGACTTTTTAAACTCTTCCAACTTTTCCTCTGGATTCTGACAGGCTTACCGTAATCAAGCATACTCTCGTCTCTAAAGACCAGTAAACATAAACTTGAAATTTTAATAGACCAAATAGGAAGAGGCAAGGGTTCCAAAAGACATTCTTGACATCAAGTCAAAATAAAAGACTCCAGAATTACAGGAACACACTTATCACATCCATGCTTTCCCTATAATCTATCCCAATCTGACCTTTTAAAAGTCATAGGTAAGAAGCCTCAACTCTGGAATGGGTGAACTGAAGAGTAGACAACGCCACCACACCTTATCTGGCGCCTGTCCACCTCACCAGACTCATTTAACATTCTTTCCCTTGTTCCCACCACAATGACCTTTAAAATAACAACAACAACCAGCTCCAGCATATTCCTACTGGAAGATCTCTGCTTCTCTTGGGGCCTCCCTTCCTGACCGCTCTTCCTGCAGAGATGTGTGTGTGGCTGGCTGACCACACAAGCCAGTGAGGGGAGTTCATTCTGACTTACCTTCCCTGGCCCACCAGAGATAAAGCAGCTCTCTCCCTAGTCTCTATCACATTTCATTGTCTTCTAAGCCCTCATCAAGATCTGAAATTATTTTGTTTACTTACTCACTTGCTTATTATCTTGCTTCCTCCCCATATATTGGAAGTTCCATGAGACCAGAGATCTTATCTGTTTGGCTCACTACTATAGAAGAATACCTGGTACCTACTAGACAATAAATATCTGTCAAACTAATGAAGAAAAGAATGGACACCAGGTTAACAGATAACTTTCAAAGCTTTAAAATACTTTTTTAATTATATTACCAACTAAATCAACGTTGGGATTTTCCAGTTATCAAGGTGACAGTTGAGAGGTGAGCCCAGAAGAGCATCACATGTAATTTATTTACAAAATCTAACTCACAGAAAGCCTAATCTGTAGCTATTATAATCGCTGGCAAGAATTCTGAAAGGTCCTTGTGCAAACCTTAGCAAACATCTAAGGTTAGGACTGGGGGTGGTCTGCAAAGATCAGAACTGTTACTTCAGAAGAAGTTAGATAGAAATCGTAGCAGTGCAGCTAGTTAACAACTCTGAGTACTGGGGTGAGACTAGGAACACAGCACAGAACCTTACTCATACCATCCTGCTTAATCTTTGCAACAACTATAAATTTTACTATTAACTCCATTTTTACAGATGAAAAAAGTAAGGCACAGATGTAATAGCATGCTATTACAAGACAGATGCTCTTAATACCAGGGTCACACATCTGGAAGCCAAATCCACTCACAAGGCATTCTGCTACACCCCTAACCACATTGTACCACCTCGCCAAAAATAGCAACTACCATTTATTTAGCACTTCTTAGGAGTGCTATCAGTACATAGAAATCACCATGATCACTCTATGAAGTCAATTATTACCTATATCTTACAAATAAGGGGACTTTTCTTGGGTCACACAGCAAGTTGGGATCTAATCCAGAAGCCTGGCTTCAGAGTTCACTCTCCCAAATACTGTCTCTCTTGCTTCTCAGTGTTTCTCAGATTTGCTGTCAGAGACAGCAGTCTGATGACGGAACTTCAAAGTGTTGTAACATCTCCTTGGTTGTTCTCCCTTGAAACCTCCTTTCTCATTCCTTTAATGTCTCAGATTCATCCTTCTGCTGGCATTTCATTTCCTCCAGGATTCTGTCACACTGATTCAACCAGATATAATTCCCACTTTAAATAAATCTGAGAAACACAATGAATTCTTGAATCAAATTTAAATCTAATTTCAAATTCCAGTGTAATGAAACTATAGTAATACCCACTAGAAAATCATGCTATTACAACACAGCAGAAAGAAAATGAGAAGGCTATGGAAATATTAAATTAGAAAGTACAACAAAAATACCGAAGGTTGAGGAAGAGGACAATCCAATTGTCTAAAAATGACAGGAAAATTAAGCAGCTATATGTTCACTAAACTTCCAGAAGCTCTACTGCTACCAGACAAGCAAAGCCCAGCCTGCCACAATGCTGACCATGATCCCAAATGCCTGCTCAACTCCAGTTTCTGATGTCATGGAGATCGTTTTTTTATGGCTGTCTTCCTACTCCATGACATTTTTAATAGAAGTCAGTGAATAAAGAGAAATTTGCCTTACAATACAATTTCAGCAAACAGATCTATTCCAAAAAGCAACAATCATCTATCTTTAGAGCCTCAAGACTCCGCCTTCGAGAACATGTCCATGCAGGAGGAGTGCAGATTAGCTTTCAGAGAAGTGACAGGAGACAGACAGGGGCGTGTTTCTTGCAGAAATGCAGCCACACTCAATGCTTCCTAATACTAACGTCCCTGATGTATTCAGTGACCTTTGACATCACTTCAAACCCTAACAAATTACTTTCCTCTTCTTTTCATCTCAGCAATGAATGTCTCCAAATAAAAATTTCACAAAGGAAGAAACATGTTCTACTTAATCCCAATTCTTAATAAAATTTAGGAAAAATCTAATCCAAGGCTACATTACACTGAAGACCATGACTGTTTTCAGTTAGCACAGAACTGCCAGAGCTATTGGTGGTTCCTACACTGGATAAACCAACCTGTCAGACAGTTCCTAATGCATCTGTATCTTAGGAGGAGGGAAGTAGCTGCCACACATTTAACTCATCAGTATCTATAAAGATGCAGCAAATAATTACTTAACATAATCTTCCTGCTTTATGCACATGAAGCAGTGGTAACCAGATATTTTAAAACACAGACCTTCAATGTGTTAATGAACCACTTTCAAATATAATCCTTTCAATGTTTGCAAAGTTATACTGACAGTCACAGCTAAGGACAGTATTTGCAAAAATGCATACAGAGTAACAGAGACTAATTCTAACACTCTTTACCTTTAAAGTCTTATAGTAAATGGCCCTGTTGATTTCCAGTGGAAATAAATTTTGCTCTTCTCCTGAACAAGCCCAATTCACATATCGAAGCCAGTTCCCCTTCTCTGGATCGGTGGCGTCAATGCACATCCATCCCAGATTTGGATAATATACCTTGGGAGAAGAAAGAAAAGACCTTCGTCAAAATGACACTATCTTTAAAATAAAATGTTTCCACTTTCAATCTTTAAGACAAATCTTTTTCATTATATGCAAACTAATGGTCCAGTGCCTGGATTCGCACACACTGAAAAGAAAATAATTAGAACAAATAGTCATTGCAAATGCTGGCATTCTGTGAATGGAGGCTTCTTTCAGCCTCACAGGTATGATGTGCCAATTGTTGGTCTTCATATTCTGTTCACCGTGCTGCTTTCAGCTTCAGAATGTCAACAAAAACAACCAAATTCATGATCGACAATGACAGATTGAAACACTCACGTGCAACTGACACCAGCAAGAGTTTTATATGTATCATGCATGTGCGTGTCAACGTTTATTTTTAAATTGCCAGTGCGTACCATATGTACTGACCGATCAGTCAGTCGGACAGTAGGATGGTTGGTCACTTAGCCTTTTATGTATAGATAGATAGATAGAGATATAGATATATAGATAGATAGATACTATATAAAATCATTTCACAGAAACAAAATAAATAAGCAACAGATGAAAAAAAAATAAAAGATGAAAATTGTGGTCCAAAATTGTGTAATCCATCTGGCTGGTGTGGCTCAGTGGTTGAGGATCAACCTATGCACCAGGAGGTCACTGGTTCTAGTCCTGGTCAGGGCACATACCCAAACTGTGGGCTTGATCCCCACACAAGGGGTGTGCAGGTAGCAGTTGAACAATGTTGATGCTTTCTCATCAATGTTTCTCTCTCTCTGTCCCTCTCCCTCTCTCCCTCTAAATATAAATGTACTACTGTGTGTGTGTGTGTGTGTGTGTATCAATAAAAACATATATTTTTAAAAACTGTAATCCTCATTAGTTATTTTTCTATCTATGCTTGAGTAATTTTTTCTCCTAAACTTGAAGAGCTATAGTAAATATGCCGAATGATCTCCAAATGCTTTGCAAATATGTACACAAGGCAAGTGACAGCTCTATTCCCTGAGGACAGAGTTGGAAGAATGAGCTGACAGCACTCTGCCCCTGGCTTCCTGGGTTGCTGTGCAGTCGCCCAGTCCTGCAGGCGCCACAGTTCAGCAGGGCCCTTCACTGCAGGGCTGACAGGAAGTTAGAGAGTAAACAAGTTGCATTAACTTCCAAGAGGGTGATAGGGTATGATGCTTCTGCAAACTCAGCTCACCTTAAACACTTCCCTATCTAGGCACCTGTCAGGACTGAGGTACTACGGAACATAATGGAAAATATCAGTGTCCTTCAAATAATAAAAAATAAAAGACCAAAAACCCAGCCCCTCTTTTCAAGAGTCAGATCAAATCTATGCTTGCAAGCAACTTTCCCTGATCACCCAATCTCAGCCAGTTCCTTCTCCCAGGTGCCTCTAGCACTTAACATTCCTTCCTTTTGAAGAAAATCTATTAGGCAACTATTTTTAACTTTATCTTTGCATACATATATATATATATGTTTTACTTCCTCAGAACTAGATTACAAGACATTTGATTAGGCACTGAAATAAAATTACAGAACCAACTGGTGACAGACCTGTCAGAAACAAACCAAACAAAATGAGTCTTCCACTTTCTCTTTAGGAAGGAAGAACCTTGATGCTTCTATGACACACACAGCCGAGACTCCTGCCTCTCACTTCTTTTCTTTGCCACCCACACTAGCTCTTCTTTGCCGCAGCCTTCCTTCTGAACAAAAAGCTCCCCTCCACTCTCCGCTCATTGGGCATGCCCCTCTTAATTAGAGCAAATATGGGCTGAGCCCCAGGTCTGCTTGACCTCTTCTTACCCATCCCTCCTCCGACCATCCGAGCTAAAACTGCAAAGCCTTCTCTTCCTATCAGCAGCCCATCTCCCCACCCCGATTCACTTTTCTTCTTAGCAATTATACTCTTTTAAAGTATGAGTTCATCTATGTACTTATTTTAGTTAGTGACTGTCTCCCTACAGCAGAGTATTAGCTCCATGAGAAGACATTTTAGCCTTTTCACTCCCCGCAGTGCCTACAGTACCTTGACCAGCACTTGGTAAAGAGTAGGCTCTCAATAAATGACTATGGGAGGAAGGAAAGGATACCATTATACAAATATGTAACTGCCATCATCTAATACGCACCTACTATGTGACAGGAACCATTCTGAAAGGAGCTTTGCAGTTAATTTATTTAATCACCATAAGTGCCAAAGAGAATATTTTCACTATCCTATAAGTACCCCCACTGAGTTTATTAAAAAAATTGCTGTTTACTAAAACTCCTATCTGTACCATTCTAAAGAGAGGTTATCCATGTCACGTCAGACTCCTTTTCAAAACTCACTGTCACACTCACCCTCAGACTCACACACACTCCTCTCCCTTTAAAATAAAGAGAAAGAGTAGCCCCCAAGTGGTATATTATGAAGAGAGAGCATCATGGTGCAAAAATTAAACCTTACACGTCAAAATAATATAAGCTGCTTTACTTTAAAATATTTAAGAAGTATTTTTATCATGTTTGTCAGCATGATAAGGAAAATGAAGTAATTGTTCTTTAAAACTGTTAGTCTGTATGTTATTTTTTACTAACTTGTGGATAATAGTTTTTGATATATCACAATGGGGAAATCCCATTCACTCTCAACTCACATATTGACATGGCTACCGACATCAACGAGACACAGATGAGACTGGAAAATGGCACCAGTTACAGCCAGTAGCTGGAGAGAGGCATCAAGAGTCTACCCATCCACCTAGGCCAGTAGTCGACAAACTGATTAGTCCACAGAGCCAAATATCAACAGTACAACGATTGAAATTTCTTTTGAGAGCCAAATTTTTTAAACTTAAACTACTAACGCCACTTCTTCAAAATAGACTTGCTCAGGAAGTGGTACTTTGTGGAAGAGCCACACTCAAGTGGGGCAGCTCTTGCATGGAGTGTCTGCCCCCTGGTGATCAGTGCGCATCATAGCGACCAGTCATTCCACTGTTCAGTCAATTTGCATATTAGCCTTTTATTATATAAGATAGTTCCTTTTGGTTCAAAATGGACTAAGGCATCTGCCAAGTCATACTTAAACTAAAATGATTAAGTTTACATTTTTTAAAATGTGCAAACAAGTTTAATTCACAAAGAAATACACATGGCCAAAACCTTGTGAAGATAAAAATTAAACTTACCTAATAATAATAAAAAAAATAACTTCAAATTAAAATATTTTCACCTATCAAACTGGTAACAATTTTTTCTTAAAGGGAATAAAAAACAAGATTAGAAAGTAAACATTTTCTACAAATATAAATAGAATAACATATTAATGGTTTTTCCTCTCTCAAATAAATAAATACGCACTGAATTTTTTCATCTTCTGTAAACTGACTTATAAGTCCTTTTTCTATTGAAAATGTTTTTAAAGGGCATTTACCCACCACACAACTACTTAAAATATGGGTAAGTTTATATTGTGCTTTCTTGCTTATGCACCTCTACGCAATAAGGTCCTTTCATTTTGCACTATAAGAGTTACTTACTTTGTTTGGCATTACCCAATTACAGTTTTTTTGGGGAAATATATTCACCAATGCTGATCAAAAAATAAATGGAATTTAGCAGTACTTGAGAAAACACACACACACACACACACACACACACACACACACACGTGTGCACAAACTGAAATGTACATGGACTTTGACCAGCATATACATTTAAAGGAATTGACATTGAGTCTCATGAGACATTGGAACAATCATACCAGGATGTATGTACACAGATGTACATAGCAGTAAGGTTTACTTAGACTTGATTCAAATTCACTTCTAGACAGAAATCTCTATGGATTCAGAGAGTATGATCATACATGCACACAGCAGAATATTAAGTAAATGTTAAAAAGTACTACTGCATAAATGATTATGTGGAAATTCTTCCTTTCTGTTACATATTTCTGTATTCCTTAAACATTTTTTCCAATAAGCACACATTCTATAATTAGAAGAAAACAAAGATAACCAGAAGTTGTGGAAATATATTATTGGTATAAAAGATAGTCACAATACTATCTTTGATGATTAAGTAAAGCCATTTACAGAAAGTATGGCTTATATAATATCATTTTTGTTTTAGACATATAACTATATGGATAAAAAAAAACACACCTAAAACTGTATAAGTATAAATGTTAATAAATTATGGTTTTCTCTGAGAAGTAGGGTTGCCATATTTTTTTCTACTGCTTATCTTAATTTCTTACCTTTTCTCCACTGATTTAGTATAATCTCTTAAGTAAACAAAGGAAGTGGGTGGGGAGATCAAGTTAGTCTTTTGAAAGAAAACCTAAGTTTGAATGAAAGCTGCCAAGGTCTGCTCAATGCTAAGCTAAAATACTCCTCTTCCTCCTCCTCCCAACATCATCGCACATACACATTGTAAAAAATAATGGAGCTTTCTTATTTGTCTTGAACAACTTAACCTTATAAGAACTGCAATAAAAAAATGTGTTTATGTACAATTCCTATCTCGGTCAAACCTTGCTTTCCAACCAATTACTTTCAGTAGCTGGCACACAGAACCTAATCACTAAAATGTCACAGAATTTTTAAAATGTAAACTACACATTACTAGACTGCAAAAGTGCCATAACACCTTCTAGAGTAGTGGCAAGTGGAGAACCAACTACCATCCCTTCTCAAAGACAATGCAAAGGCAGGTGAAACTCCCCCAGCTCAAACTCAGCAAATGATATGTAGCAAATCTATTTCCATGTTTTTATGACAAGTTCAAAATTTAGTACACACTCCAATTTGTAACATTTTATGTTATGAATTAAAAAAAAATCTTATTCAATTAATGCAAAGGTACCCTAACTCGTATTCTAAACTGACTGCCTGGGAGGTCCTTACCTACTCTCAAATTTGCAATAACCACCCCTGGAGTTAACACGGGGCAATTATGACACCTCTTCATACCTATAGTCTCCTGCTGAGATAAACCTT